TATGTAAATCATGTAAGCTTTTATCGTATTTTAAATCAACTTCTAAGATATATCCAAACTCATCATTTTGATTGTTTTTGTAGTCTATCTCATTCGTCCAACGAAATCCATCCACGGGTAGTGTCTCACACATAGCTGTGGAGTATAGCGAGTTACAATCTAAATATATTAAATACACACTTTCTTGATTGGGATCATAATGTTTGCCCATATATCTATTATTGGCTTTAGCGTAACGTGTAGAAATCATACTGACTCCTCCTCTGATTGCACTTTCTATGAACAAATGCATGTCAATATCTTGAAATAATTGTAATTTTATACCAGTCATTCTAAGACAAGCTTCCCATGTTAGTCCTGGAAGTGAATACATATGTACGGGGTCAAGTTTGTAATCCTTTAAACACAGGTCTCTAAATGTCTCAAACACATCAGCCAGTAGCAATACATCTGTTTTAAGATATAAATCATGATATTCTTGTAAATTATGTATATTAAAATGGGTCCAGACATTTTTAGCATGTTCATATTCGATGGGAGAGATATGTTCTTTAGTTAAAGTACTGTAAAATTTTTCAATTGGAGGTAGAGACTCTGCAAACTTATCTGGTCCTGTCATATATTCATAGGGAAATACGCCTTTGCGTTGTAGTAGTGGATTGTCTATGAATCTAAATGTATTTAAATTGGAAGCTAATTTGTATAATGGAAGGGACAGAAAGTTATAGGAATCTAAAAATACTAAATCATCAACAGAGAATGAAATGTACTTTTCCATATCTTTGGCTATGCAATTTAATTTACGATTAAACTTTCCCAAGTGTTGCATAATTAAATGTCCATCGTAATTTTTTAAGTTATGAAAGAATACTGGTATTTTCTTTGTTACTTTATAGTTTAAATTGCAATCATTGTGGGCAGCTCCACGGTATTGGCCATTTGAATGACAATGTTCCCGTACCCTATCAAAATATAGAGGCTTTTCACAAATATGACAATGTGTTGAGTTTTGGAAAGATGCCTCTTGCTCAGGAGTCATTACAAGGGGGATATATATTGCCATTTGATTTTTAATGAAGTCATAAGTCTCAAACAACCTTTCGAAAAACACATCCATAACATTTTTGCCACTATATAACTCTTCAGAAATAATCTTAGAATCTTTTACTACGACAAATGCAAATCCAGATGGAGTATGGTTGTTAGAGTTTATAAAGCACTCAAAATCAGCATAAATTACAAATGGGGCTTTAAGTTGATATTTATAATTTTTAAATTGTAATGTATCTTGTTTAGACATTTCCACTCGTTGGACATCAAAGTTTTTACAATATGTTATATGACACTCCAATTTATCTTTGGTGTAAAAATGTTGTAAACAAAACTTGCAAAAATGCTTTTTACTGTTATCTTTTGTTGACCGTAGCATTAACCTATTAAAATCACGAATTAAACAGTAATGTGATTTACGACCTTGTTGTAATAATAATAGATCTATATGAGTGTTACTATTCAGTTTGGTTCTTCTTAATGGATATATAAATTTTTGGTCTTCAACTCCAAATACATTAACACTTATATTATTCTTTCTTTCAAATTGATCTATGTCAGATATTTTTACGGGATATTTTATATTTGTCATGTTCAACTTACCTACGTAGGGTGCATAGTTAGAGACTCTATTAGCATGTTTAGCATTCCTTGGATGTAAAGCTGCTAAAATTGACCAAAGGAAGCATTTATTATCAACATTCTTTATATTTAAAACTGCTTTTGTCAATTTAATACTTTTTGGTGTGGGAATGTATGACTTTGGAGTTAGGGGCTTATACTTGTAAACGTGCAACTGCCAATATTTAGTATGGTCATAAATCCATCCACTGCCTTCGGCTTGATATTTGTGTATGGAAGCGTCAATCTTTAAAAGGGCATTTTCAATTTGAGGCTTTAAATCTCTCTTCTCAATGGTTAAGGTAGTAAGGCTTCTAAAATCTGCAATACATTCTTTCTCATTAACTAATTTTCCATTTTGATCTATTGTATATTTTATAAATTTGATTCTCCTTACTAAAGTCCATTTTATTGGTAGAGGACAAGACTGAAGAGTACTTTTAAGTTCAGTTTTAATCGATTCACCAACAAATTTAATCATTGTATATGGACATTTGTTACAAGAATTTACATGTCTTTTAAAATGACCAACAACATTTCTTTTACAGAAATTACAAGTCTTATGAGTTTGTAATATATGAGATTTTAGAGCCATGTTATTATCACAGATTATATCACAAACTTTGCACAGTTTCACCTTCATTTTATGTATTACCTTGTAGTGGCGAATCAGGTTGCTTTTTTTGGAGAGCGATGCAAAACAATGTTGACATGTAGTCTTCATTTTTATATATGTAATTAAAAAATAGGTTGAAATCTTCTATATAGTAGAAATTACATTTTGACAATTTCAATTAATGAGAAATAATAATTTGAATTAGAATTTTATATTTTAATATTCAAAACAATTTCATACAATAAGATTTAGCAATTGTAATTTTCTAAATCAAAACTAAATCCAAAAACTTAAATAAAAAATACTTTTTAGCAATTCAGATTGCTGAGTCTACATATATACAGAGTGAGTGTTACCTATTTTAAAGGAGAATTGACAAAATTATATAGTGAATATAATTCGGCTAAGTTTTTAAATAATAACTTGTGCACACTTTTGACTCAAAGTCCCCCGGTGCATGAAGTTTGGCTAAGTTTTTAAATAATAACTTGTACACACTTTTAACTCAAAGTCCCCCGGTGCATGAAGTTTGGCTAAGTTTTTAAATAATAACTTGTGCACACTTTTGACTCAAAGTCCCCCCCCCCCCGTGAGTGAATTTGGCTAAGTTTTTAAATAATAACTTGTACACACTTTTAACTCAAAGTCCCCCGGTGCATGAAGTTTGGCTAAGTTTTTAAATAATAACTTGTGCACAATTTTGACTCACTTAAAAATAGTAATAACAAAATAAGTTATTTTTTTGGATAGAGAAGCAGCACACAGTTGACATGTAACTAAAAAACAAAGTTAGCATCTTCTATATGATGGAAATTACATTTTAGACAATTTCAATTAATGGGAAATAATAATTTAAATCAGAATTTTAAATTTTAATATTCAAAACAATTTCATACAATAAAATTTGGCAATTGCAATTTTTTAAATCAAAACTAAATCCAAAATCTTAAGTAAAAATACTTTTTAGCAATTCAGAATGCTGAGTCTACATATATACAGAGTGAGTGTTAGTTATAGAGAAGACTATGTTACCTATGTTAAAAGGAACTCGACAAAATTATATAGTGAGTATAATTCGGCTAAGTTTTTAAATAATAACTTGTGCAAACTTTTGACTCAAAGTCATGAGTGAATTTGGCTAAGTTTTTTAAAATAGACTTATATACATTTTAAGTTCCTTAGTGACTGTTCAAAATACTCTAAGTGTTTAAAAATAGACTTATATACATTTTTTACAAGTTCCTTAGTGACTCAATTCGGCTAAGTTTTGAAAAATGGACTCGGGAAATTAGCTACACTCCTAAGTTAAAAGAAATACAGAGTAGGCCTATGAGTACAAGCATCAATTACGTCACCAATTGATCCCATGACCCGACACGCGACAACATATTACAATAGTCTAGCTTAGATGTCAAAGACTTACCAAAACAAGAAGATCCAGGTGGAAGAGTTAGTGATGATTCCGTAGAATGCCCCCCTTATATACCACAAAATTGTCTAAATTAATTTAGAACTTAACAATGGAAATTGAACAAACTGAAATTGAACAATTGAATAATTGAGGTCAATCAATCAAACATATTTGGTAATTGTCTAAACCTGCCCCAGACAGACTGGCGCCAGACAGGCAGAGAATGTTGACAATTGGTTTTGATTGGGGTCATTAGGTTACACTCACAGTCATTCATTTGAGTCAGGCATAGTTTACACATAGCCATAAGCGTGCCCGAGTTCGCGCACAAACCTCACATGATTTTGAAAATATACATGGGAATGGATGTGGATTTGAAATTTTAATGGAGTTTGAACATTTATATAGGCTTGTATTGGACGAGATCCAGGTCTTTAAAAAAGTGGCCTAAAAAAGCTCACCATTTCCAGACGTGATTTTTAGTATTAACAAAAGTAGAAAATTTATATAGGGGTGTATAGGTCGAGAGCTGGGTCTTTAAAAAAAGTGGCCAAAAAAAGCTCTTCCATTTTTTTCTCATTTTTCCCCTATAAAAAGTGCCCTAAAAGTGCCTCTAAAACGCCGAAAGTGGGGTCATATTCTGGTATTATATCTACTTAACACCCCTTTTCTGGTCTTAACTCATATTAAAATCATTTGTTTCGCTTCTAAAGTTTACCCTGAAATTTCGCACTGTATCGTACCTAATGGAATAATTGTCCTGAAAGTAGCCTGGTATGATAATTATTTAAGAGTTTTTTTTCTGCTTAGTGTAACTAATAACGTACTACCCAAAGCAATTAACTTATATGTAGATTTAGTAGATTCTTATTAGTCCTCTTTAGTAACCTACAGGTACTTTGTATAGGGCTTGAAGAAGTAAACTTGAACCAAAACATTATTGGGAACAATTCCTCACAAGGATTATTAAAACCAAACCAATAAACTTACCTATAAAAATCAAGCGTTGGTCGACTACAAAATTGCCGTTCTAGAATTAAATCAAGTAACCGCTCTACTGATTTCCGGTACGTTTTGTGCCCCGGGCATTTGCACTTTACATTTGAATGTGTTCTTCAATATTCGCAGAATTTAGTTCTGGTTACCTATTTACAGAAATACGAGGTAAAAACTGCATTCAAGATCTTGAAGTACGATCGAGCGTGGCAAGTTACATCAAGAATTGGCGTGAAGGGATAAGTGTAGCGAGGATTGTGGAATGACCTTTGATCTTCTCTAATGCGTGTATTTCATGTGTTTCAGGCTTCAGGATCAGAAGACTTTATTGAGGAGCATCGTGCCACCTCGACACATTCTAGCAAGCACCAGAGTGCCGAAAGCAAGCACCAGGGTTTGAATAGCAGCTACACCAGCCACCAGGAGTACCGCACCGTAGTACTAAATAGCATACCTCTTCCCACAACCGGAGGACACGTCACATGTACGTACAATATTAACAATGATTATGTATTTCTTACTATCTCTTGCCACCCCCTGGGGGGCGTGTCTTAGGTAGGTGCCTTAGCTCTTGATATCACAAAAAATACGTCATAGATACGTGTTACTTATTATCTCTTGCTATCACCAGAGGATGTGTCACAGGTACGGAGTGCAGGGCAGAGTGCAAGTAGCCTAAAAAAACTTAGGGTCATTTTACAGACTGAGGCTTGGCATGGTAGTGGAAAGGCCGACCAGGGGGTATGAGCAAAACTTCTTCAGGGATACAATGGAACTGTTATAACCTAACCTAACCAAACAAAAAAATCTCATTAAGGTTTACTAATCAAATCGATATTACGTTAGCCCACGAAAGAAACTGTACCCGGTCTTACATCCTGCCCACTACACCCCCTTACACTAATATCCCTCCCCTGAATCACTCTTACGCTCTGGGGAATCAACTGGCACTCCGACCTACCTGACGGTTTTGGCAGTATATGACCACTACGGCAAAAGGATATAGGCTGGCACTCGCTCCGCTTCTCACAGGTAAAGTGTTTTCATCACTTTTAATCACCAAAGGATACGTCATAGATTCGTGATACTTTTTATCTCTTGCTATCACAAAGGACACGTCACGGCTAGGTGTTATCTTATATCATTAACATTTGAAAAAACTCACATGAAACTTTTTACACCTGTTTTAATATACTTGCTAAGCAAAACCTATCGTACTATGTGTGTTTTCGTTTCTAAATCACAAAAAAAAACACAAAGCTAAATTTTATGAGTATTATAATAACAAACTAACATAGTACAGTTTAATAGTGTACAATACCGCCTCTTCCCTTGATTTGTTTGACGCATTCTATGCACACGCCTTCGAGACCCAGTCCGGACAGCAAATGCAAGGTGAAAGGAAGCTGCCAACCTCTTAGGTAAACAAACTAAAGCCATTAGCCACTATTACAAATTAATTCCACGAAATAATTTCATTAGTTGGCAGCAATGTTCTTACGTGTGTATATAATAATACACAATGTAAGGAAGCTGTTAATCTCCACACACAGTTCCAAGTTTTATGAATAATGAAGTTAATCTCTCGCCAACACAGATACGGCGCGAGTTCTACATTACTTTGAAGTATAGTTTGTCGTTTGCTACACGTGTACCGATGGTGGGTTCAGATGTCTCCAGGTCCACACACATATACGATATCTGATTTCGTCGGCCTTTATCTGCTCCAGTGTATCTGTTTTGAGTCGTCGCCAGATAGACACAATGGACACATTGTCGCTTGGTTTATGATATCTCGGCCCGCCACGCGCGCATGTGTCGTGACGAACGGCCCACATCGCCCCTTGGCTGCCCCGACCACTTACTCTTTACTCCGCTAATTGTTTCAATGCCTAATTAGATCTGTGTCAACATGCAGGCTTTGCTTGTGTACTTAGACCGCGTGCACAAATATAATGGCCCTGATCTCTTACAACTGATCTTTGTTGCTTAACCGAACAAAATTTATCACCTATTCTTTGATGTAGACCTTCGAGTGTTTCATATGTTGTTTGCCAGAACACAATTAGTTTCTGCTTCGGCTGCTAACTACAATAGAAGGTCTAAGTTTTTGCAATTTTAACTTACCTATCACCGGTTTTAGCAAATGTCCCATATACGGAATAAGCTAGTATCATAGTCTCATGGTAAGACCTAGACCCGGGACCGATTTGCTTTTTCGTTCTGATGTCCCCAGAGGTCAAAAACACAATCCGTTCAAATTTATATCTATATATTGTACGTGTGTATGTGTATGTATGCGTTGGACTGATAACTTACATCACGTAACAAAAACGATCAGAGTTTGATAAATTACATCTGCAACAAACATGTAAACCTAGGTTTGTTCAAACCAGCGTGATCGGACTATGAGGATGGGGTTTCACGGGGAGCGTTATGGGGTAAAAATGGGGGTTTCCCATTTTTACAATCGAGACATAAAGTTTCGCTATATCCTTCCAAACCGTATTGAAGAGCTTAAAAAAAGCAAATAATTTTGTACATTACATTGAAGCATTGATGTAGGCCTATGTTTAAGTTACGGAGAAAATTTAAAAACCCCTAAATTTTAAATTCCCATGTTATTTGTACTGAGAATAAAAACTGTCGCGTGGGCTTGTTCCAATTTTAGAAAATTATTTAATTTATACTTAGCTATTAACATTTCACTAAAACACACTTCATTAAAATACCGAAATTAGAAAACCTAATTACTCGTTGAACCAATAATAATTTATAACGATTGTACAAAATAACAATTAAGTGGACGTAACTGTAGCCTGAAGCTACACTTCTACGCTCTCAGAAGCCACTCCATATAAACAATCATCCCGTCCTTCGTTTACAAATATCGCACTATATCAACATCTCGGGTAAATAGGACTTTGTTTTCGTTCCGCTACAGCTGTATTCGATCGTGACTGAACCTCTACCATAAACTTCCCCTATAGTTCGCTCGTGGGTTAACAAAAAACATTAAAAACAATGTGTGCTTATAAACACGATTAAGTAATTTGAATGGCCGAACAAAAAAAAATATGGATAAGATGTTTTAATTTATTACACAAAAAAGTGACAGGTCTGTGAACACTTTTTAAAACAGTAAAGAACCCTTAAGTTCTTTAATCCCTGAAATATTCAATAGGTAGCTAAAAACAAGACACAATTCCTTTGTGTCGGTTTCTTAAATGTAATTCAATCAACAATACAAAAATTAAAAAATACATTGAAATTATGCCTATAGATTATCATAAAAGTTAATAATTATCAACATACGCACAAATTACTCTAGATACCAATTCATCCAAAAACGTTCAGAAATGATTGTATGTCATTATTTCAACCCCGTGCAATTCAACCTCTATATACATAGTTAAATCTTTTACCCAGTGCATTTCAACATATACATAGTTACATCCACCCTGTGCATTTCGACCTCTATTTACATAGTTACATCCACCCAAGACCTCTTATATACATAATTACATCTACCCAGTGCATTTCCACCTCCATATACATAGTCACATCCACCCAGTGCAATTTGACCTCTATATACAAAGGTACATCCATCCAGTGCATTTCCACCTCCATATACATAGTCACATCCACCCAGTGCAATTTGACCTCTATAAACAAAGGTACATCCATCCAGTGCATTTCCAACTCCATATACATAGTCACATCCACCCAGTGCAATTTGACCTCTATATACAAAGGTACATCCATCCAGTGCATTTTCACCTCCATATACATAGTCACATCCACCCAGTGCAATTTGACCTCTATATACAAAGGTACATCCATCCAGTGCATTTCCACCTCCATATACATAGTCACATCCACCCAGTGCAATTTGACCTCTATAAACAAAGGTACATCCATCCAGTGCATTTCCAACTCCATATACATAGTCACATCCACCCAGTGCAATTTGACCTCTATATACAAAGGTACATCCATCCAGTGCATTTCCACCTCCATATACATAGTCACATCCACCCAGTGCAATTTGACCTCTATAAACAAAGGTACATCCATCCAGTGCATTTCCACCTCCATATACATAGTTACATCCACCCAGTACATTTCGACATCTATATACATAGTTTACATCAACCCAGAGCTTTGACTTGATCAGGTATGCACTTAAATTATTAACACGCTCCTCCGTTTCCCAGACATTACTTTTGAGTAAAAAAAGGACAATTCTTTTTATAAAAAAAATTGAAATATAAAGTCAATAGGTTGATGATATACGCACTTAAAAAATAAAATTGCCCTGTTCGCAAAATACAAAAGATTATTTATTAAATTAAAACATAAACATAACTGTAAACAATCCTACTTAGACAGTAGTTCACATTGTGTATTTTTGTTGCAGCTCAGTTCAAATTAGCTGTTGTCATAAATAAAAAAAATAATAATAATAGTGTTGCACCCTCTTGGTTAACCTTGTAACCTGTAACTCGGTAATGCTAATTGATCATCATAGAACCAACTTGTTTGTTTAATTGAAACATCTGTTAAGATTCATTAATAATTTTTTTTTTTATATGAATCCTCGTTGGGTTAACATGGGAAATTCCAGAGCTACTGGGGCGGAGCCCAAAAACCAGATCAGAATAAAAACTACTTAATTAGCGAATTTCCCTATAGGGAAGTAGCTATTACCGTAGGTGGCACGGTAAGACCTAGACCCGGGACCGATTTACTTTTTCATTTTGATGTCCCCAGAGGCCAAAAACACCATTCGTTCAAATTTTTATATATGTATATATATATATATATATATATATATATATACGTCCGTGAACGCGATAACTTGAGTAATTTTTGTCCGATTTTGATGAAATTTGGTTTAAAGGTGTAAAGCGGGATAAACTTGAATGAGTTCGCGGACCAGCACGATCGGACCATGGGAACGGGGCTTTACGGGGGGTTTTATGGGTTAAAAATTGGTTTTTCTCACTTTTGACCCTCAAAACACAAAATTTGCCGATTTCTCTTTAGACCTTTTTAAAGAGCTTAAAAAAAACAAATAATTTATTATATAAAAGTATTTTTGTTTGATTGTTAGTAACGGAGAAAATAAAAAAAATTGTAATTTTAAAATTCCCATGTTATTCTTATGGAGAATATTGTCAAATGTTGTGGTTTGCTTGCTTATGGATATATTTTGATCAAACTTGGCAAATTTATTTATTTTGTACTAAGCTATCAATATTTTACTCAAAAACACACTTTATTAGTTTCCTTGTAGCAGCAAACCTAGGTACTCGTTAAACCTAATGTTATTAAAATATATTTTACTGAAAATCAATTCAGACAAATGGAAATTCGCTTAGTCGGCAGGTTTGCTGCGGCGGGGGTATTTTTACATTTAATGCCTAAAGAATCAGTGTACCAAATTTCAATCTCCTAGGTAAATGGCAAGTAGGAGAATTA